CAAGGAGTATTTTTATTTTCCACTTTTAAAGAAATGATATACTATTTTACGAAAAATTTGTTGATATCTGGAAAATACTCACATGCTTACCTTTGATCAAGTGTGGAAGCAGTTTTTCACAATATAAACTACTTGGTCTCGTTTTAATCTAAACCATGTTATTCTCCATTGAAATGCGTTAAAATGTTGCAGTTATTTTCAAACCATAAGTAAGAATCATTATTTTTCCTAAATAGTGAATCTATGAATTATTTCATTCAATAATCGAATGCCTGTCTTGATATTAGCTGATTGAGAAAGTTTTCTTGCAGTGTTTTCGTCGCCAAGGCGAGTCTACATCTGTCACGGGTCGCAATTTTGAGAAAGATCCATTGGCGAAGCCCGGTTGGTTGGTGACTCCGTGATCATGCGAAAGATGTACTTATGAAATTTACACTTAGCGGTTAGTGTCAAGGTACGAGATGATTTTAGGCCCCAAACAGAGCGGAGTTGCTGAAGAGATGAGTTTTTATCTTTGAGCAAGTCAACCATGACCAATATTTTTTAATCCGCAGTTGGCTCCGTTACAATTCCCTTCTCCTGATTTGATGGAGTCCATTTGATTGGCTCTCTGGATGTTGTGGAACAGTTATGTAAATTAGTTGGTAGTTTTTCGAAGAGGAGGAATCAATTTTGGGTTTTTACACTATGATGTATAAATGTTGTAACATGTTGAATTGGCTGGCTGATTTGTGTTTAAATGATGATCCTGTAATACCCTTCAATATTTGGAAATGTTAAAAGGAAGTGGGATCTCTTAACGGGGTCCCCCGTTTCTCCTTCAACAAGTGCCCAGTTGCTAATTCATCTTCTGTAATGAAATATTGTTCTTTTATCTATTATTCACAATATGCATTTCCATCCAGTTATTGTTATTGTTATTGTTATTGTTCTTTTGTTGGTTTGTAGAAATTTAACTAGCAACAATCTTATCATCTGCCATCCTCTCTTTTATGTTCCTTGTTGACATATTGAAATGTGAGAATTCAAGAAAAATGCCAAATCCAGAAGCTCTCATATAATCACAGCCATCCAAACTCTTATCTCGTACTCTCTCACTA